GGGAGTGACTTTAGCATGCATTGCATCTCACTCCATTTGCATTTGTGTGTGATTGAATTTGACTTATACTTGTAATTATTTTTCCCCTTCAATGCATGTCCCCAATCTCCCATTGGCCTATGCTTTATTTGGATTCACTAGGACACAAGAATTGTGTCTTAAGTGTCACCTGCTGAGCTATATGCTCACCCCTATATCTATATATATTTTTTTCAGGTCTTGGAAAGGAACTGGTGGATGACAACCCACCTCAAGCTTGAACGGCATTAGAAGTTCACTTTTGTATCTTTGTATATTCCCCATTATTTTGTAAAACACTAGAAGTGCAAAGATGTATAATTATTTTGTGGAACTTTGTCATGTAATATAACTAAAGAATTGATGATGTTTTGGATGGGGATTTGATAGTATGCAACTTGTTGATGAATGGATGGATAATCCTAGTTTGAAGCATTGTCTAGATTAGTTGGTTGTATCATTATCTTTTGTTGCCGTGAATTCGGAATTTGAGCCATGACAGGTTAAAAATGCAATTAAACAGGTTGTGATAGGCCTATTTTTAGGGGAGGTCATGCCGATTTTTTTTTTTTTTGTTTATAAAGTATTAGTTTTGAGTCGTTACATAATTTAAATAAATCAACATCCTACACATAAACACACCAAGACACAAACAAAGGCAACAAACTTAATATAAAATGGCTAATCACCAGGTGCATGAAAATGACTTGCATACACATAGCATAGCAAGTAATTAAAACGTGAGAGCAGAAACAGCGGCAAGGTTTCTTCTCTCCTATATAAGTATATTCTCCAAAATTATTTATATATACAAAAATCTTTAAAAAGCCTTTTTTTTTTTTTTCCTTTTCTTTTTCTTTTTTTCTTTTTTCTTTTTAAGGTCACAACCACTAGATGCAACCTTAAGTCATATGGTTAGGAGATAATTATCATGTCTACATGCTATTTGTCTAGAAAAAGAATCCATTTGATTAAAGATCCTACACATACTTATAAAATGTTGGCACTCTGAAAACACCCATTGCATTGTGTAGTTAAAGACATCAAGAGAGAGTACATAGAGGGGCAAAGAAAATTAAGAAAAAAAGGAAAAAAGACTATGTCCGCATTTGTAAATAAGTTAAAAAACCAAAGAAAATTAAGAAAAAAAGGAACATCAAGAAGTGCAACAATAGAACGAACATGAAACATGCACTTCATAGCTCCAATGTTGTGATCTATCCTCTCCAAAAGAGCAGCTTGAGTATTCTAAGTCCCGGTAGGGACAATATTGTAGGCGTGTGCGAGTTTGCTTGAACTTTCAAAAATTAAAAATAAAAATCTCGTAACATTTACTAGGGAAGAAAAGAATAAAGAAAAGACAAACCTAATCTTTGACATTACTTTTGAAGCCATGATCCCACATGCATATCAGGCCAAGCATTTACCCTTGCACCAAACAATGACCCCTTAAAGGTCACATAACAAGGCCTACAAAATTAGAAGTTCTTTAGACATTTGCTCACATCAGTCAATTTGGGGAGCCCCTTAACAACTTAGTAGTATTTAATCAATCATATTTTCTGAAAATACAACAACGTATTAATTCGGATGGTATGATCTCTCCTCTTTACAAACAAATTATTGGAGTCCTGCGAAGACAATACTATGCTTGTGTGTCTGCTAGAACTTTCAAAAAAATAAATTAAAAATAAAATTGTCTGAAAATTTAACTAAACAGAGAAATTAGAGAAACAACATGAGTAACTTTGCTTAATTATGAGAAACACTAGATATAAAGGAAAAGGGAGAATAAGAAAAAGCCCCCGGGGGCTTGGCAGTGATGGTAGGGGCTCGGGGCTGGCACCCAATCGGCCAGTGTTCGACTCCTACCAAGCCTTTTAATTTCTCCGGTATATTCTTGGGGCGAGACTTTGCACCCCCAGGTTTGTAACCTGAGGTGGGTCCCAAAAGGGTCCTGCCTAGGTGAGTTCCTGGTACTAATAAAAAAAATAAAAATAAAAATAAGATAATGGGAAAAAAGAAAAGTCGAACTGAAATACCTAAAGTGTCCCCTGCAAATTCAATTCAGATCCCTATTGCCACCATTTATGGACATTGGTCGAAGAATTCAAAATAGTCAGGCATCTTGATTATGCAAAAAGAGTAGAGAATCAGTCAACTTATCTAGAAAAAGTAGTTACTCACTTTCTCATTAATAGAATTTTAAACAAAAAAAATGCATATTGAAAGACACGAGGAAGAGACAATATGATGGCTTTAGAAAAACATTTCAAATTAAAGAAAGGGGTCGGCGGGCTCCATAGATACTCAGCATGATGAAAATTAAGAGTACAAAATTGATGCAGAACTAAGCGGAGATGGATTCTTGGGAGTAGTTGGATCGTCAAAAAAAAAATACCAAACTTCGAATGTTATATATATAATGGGTTTAAAAACATAAAAAATAGTTACCAAATGGGCTATTACCCGGCTGGTACAAACCCATTCCCCAAACAGGAGGTCCAAAGTTCGAGCTTAGTTGAGACATGGGTGTTGTGTTATAGTTTTGTCTTAGGTTAGATCCGAAAAGGGTAACTATTATAAATGTGAATTGGGCGTTAATGGTATTCAGAGTCAAACTAAGTTCTTAATCTGTTATCAAGCCAAACATCCCGTCAAAAGATATCTGGCCCCCCATCCGAGTAAGCAGGGTGGCCAATAAATTCAAATCGTGAAGCACCCAATCTTTTACATTAGGTTTGGGAATAACCTTTTCATTTTTATTTATTTATTTTTTTTTTTTCAGAACAACCTTTTCATTAATAAGTAACAATTTGAGTTTTCTCTTCTGCAACCTAATTGATTGTATGGTTGAAAGATCTTTTATAGTTGTTGCTTCGGCTTTTATCAATGATGGCTTATTCTTTCATACCTTCTATGAATAAAACATATTTTCATCAACACTTTAGTTAGGAGCTGTTTAAAGGAATTGTAATTTCAATCTCTTATCCTTAAATCTCAACCAAAAACCAATTTTTTGTGAAAATTTTCTGGAAGGATCAATATCAGTAAAAGACCACAAGTGGGCCACATAATTAAGGAACACACTTTATGTCCCTAAACCAAAGGCCGAGTTTGGTAGGTAAGAATGGAATAGAATGGATATTCATTTCAATTATTTATTTATTTGATATAAAATTTAAAGTGGGAATGACAATTCTTAAAGAAATTCATTCAATGGAATGATCATTCTATTTTCAAGTAAAACTTCAAAAAAAATAATTTTTTTTTTAAACCCATCACATTCCAAGTCCAAAAGCCATCCGCCAGTGCCACTACTACAACTATCTGCCGATGCCACTGCCTTCCACCACCACCCACACCTTCCATCACTACCATTACTTTTCACCAACGCTGCCGCCACCTCCATCGCCTTCCACCACCACCACTTAGAATGGTTATAATTATCATTTCATTCTTACATCATTTCATATTTACAACCAAACAATAGGATAAAAATGATCATTACATTCCATTTTCAGTCTTATTCCATTCCCATTTCATTTCATTCTTGCGTATCAAACTAAGTCTAAGAATCCATATCCATCTAAACTAAGAACCTGGATACTTTCATGTGCGGAGGGAATCCGATGCCTCTCTTGTGCATTAAAATAGTGTCACTTTGGTGCATAGCGCACAGCTCCAACACGGGGCTCTATGCCTATGCACTGAAAAGACACCGTTTCAATGCACAAGAGGGGATATTGATTCCTCAACAGAAACAGAAAGTAAAAGTCTAACTAGCACAATTCACAATCCAACTGGTGGAGCAGCTGGCAAGGCTGGCAGTCGATTAATTAATGTAATAATTTTAAGTAAAATTTCTCCAATTTCAAATACAAAAAATCAATCCGATAATCTCAAACATAACTTTAAGGTATTTGAACAAATTTCAGTGACTGTAAGTTACATTTGTTTGTCGTGCATGTTCTTGTAGAGGATGACTGACGAACTGAACTTTGAACATGGTCAGTAGTTTAAGGCCAAGATCAACCACATTTTCATAGTCTGACAATTTTGAATTTAAATCTACCCAACAAAGTGGTAACAAAAATATTTCTATCCTTGTGAGGCGCACTACTCTGCTACAATTAATATATACTTGCTCATAACAAGCATTTCTTCTTTATTATTAGTCGTTTCACTACTCTGCTACAATTAATATATACTTGCTCATAACAAGCATTTCTTCTTTATTATTAGTTGTTTCAGTAAGTTACAATACCCTCATGTTACTGCATTTGATAAATGAACACTTGAGGTGGTGGTCAAATCACTTGAAGTTGCAAATGCTAAATAAATTCCATCAATGTAGGTATATAATCATCAAAATCAATGCCTAAATTTTTTTTTTTTTTTGGTTTCGAAAAATCAATACCTACATTTGAGATATACAAGACAGGAGTAGATATTAGATGCACCAATCATATTATGTCATTGACATGTTCACGACACCTATCGAAACAAATGTTATATTCTAAGTAACATCAATAACCTGTTATTCCCTACTCACCCAATATCTTCTGTTGACAAAGCGAATCACACATGATCCCAACACGAGATCTGCATCGAACTCTGTGCCTGCAACTAATCCCTCCGAACAGGTGTCTGAAACCAAAACGAAAAGAGGGAGTGGTCAACCCCACAGTCCTCTGTCTATTTTGATTTGGAGTCTTTTGACTCATAGTATTATGTTTCTGTTTTGAATTTGTAATTAAAAGAAATTTAGTTCAAAATTTTAACTATATTTCTTCCCATCCTAAATTCGAGTCACAAGTGCTTCCAGAATCATTGCTCTCTTTCCACTATCAATTAATTGTACCATGATCTACTAGGTGCAACATCAGTTCTCAAATCTGATGGTGTTGGCAGTCAACACAATCTAAATACATGCGTGTATATATCTATAAAATAGAACATTGCTTAAAAAAAATAATAAATAAATAAAATGAATCTGCTCCCAACATAGCTTAATATTATTCTCTCATAAATTCAAGAGAGATCAAAGTACAAACATGTTTCTAGAGGGGGTTGATGATTCACTGACAGAAACATAGAATATAATTTGATAATAACATCCTTAATATTAATTAACAGAGATTCTAGCAGCAGAAGTACTCAAAGCAGCTATCTGTGCAGTCATAGCAGCAAGAACAACTGCAACCCAAAAAAACCAGAATCCAACAAAAACATTAATTACATCAATAGATATATATATATATATATATATATATATGAAGAAATTTAAAAAAAAAAACAGAGTATATATAAAGAGGGGATTGAAATATTAATTTACCACTCGTCTACGGCTTTGTCCTGTTCATCTTCTGTCTGGTATGTTTTCTCTATGGATTGGGAAGGAGGGGGTTCCAATTCCATTTCTTTCTCTCTCTAAAAACTCTCTCTCTAGAAGGGATTTTGGATGGATGTTTGGGGGCACTGAAAGTGAGGGAATGGAGGAGGAGGATAATGATGTTGATGTCACGTGATTGGCGTTTTGGGGTTGTTTGGCTTGACTCCGAAAAAGATACGAAAATTAGTAAACTTTTTTAACTTTCCATTCCAACTTATTATTCTTTCTCTGTTTAGCTTTGATAAAAAATATTCACGTTTTAGACTTTGCTTTGGCCACATAATTATGGATTAACATGTAAGGACGACGTCGTTCCTGAAAATAAGTCGTCCCAACCAGTCAATGCTTTTCACCACATTCCGGAGCTCTCGTCTCGAAGCTTTTGTTTTACTATTATTGTTTCAACTTCACCAGATGCGTCTTTCACCTAATACTATTTTTCTCCCATCAATTTTTTATTTTATTTCATTTATTTATCATTAGGAGAATTAAGGGTGACCACGAATTGAATTAGGTATCCCTCTTAATTCCATCCGCTCCCAAACCCATATGGCACTTAGCTTGTAGAGACAATTAGATTGGCCAAAGTGGAAGAGAAGGAAATGGTCTAATGAATTAGACAAATTTTAATCTGTCATCTTATCCCACGGATCGGATCTGCCATCTTATCCCACGGATCGGATCATATCCGTGTAATAACGGGTCGAGTATAAATTACCCATTTATATTTTTATAATTAATACTCCCTCCATCTGTTATACTTTCCTTTTTGTTCTGTTCCAAAATAATTGTCGATTTTCCTTTTTCAAAATTTCACATCTTTCCATATATGTTCTTGAAGTTTAAAATTTCAAACTTGAATATTCAAAACTAAAAAGAAGAAGTTAGTAACTTTTCAAGAAACAATGCATGTCCCCTTAGAAATTATTACTCTCCAAAAGCAATACTTAAATTGGGACTAAGGGAGTATTATTTATTATTTATTTATCTTTTAACCATACCCAATAGATAAAATTTTAATTTATTAATATTAATTCATATATTTAAATAATTATTAATTAATACATCCTTAGAGTTCATTAAATTATCATTAACTAATTAAATTAACTAATATATTCTTTGAATATATATATATATATATATATATTTTACGAATCGGACTCTCGGATCGAATTTTTAACAGCTTAATCTGTGAGTTACGGATTCAATTTTTTTGAATCCGTCACCGATCAGTGATTGTAGTAATTCAATCCGATCTGCACGGATCGGATTGGATTCACAGATTATTTGTTCACCCTATTTAAGTCTATCAAAATACTTTTTTTCCTTTTTTTTTTTTTATCAAAAGAATTCACTCAAGAAACAACATGAACACTAACGGGGCCGACCTTGAGATTTTCAAAATTTGAGATGCCCTCGGCGAATTTTCAAATGCGAGACCCTTTATATATAAGGTTTCACACGAGTAAAAAATTTATATGCGTACGAAATTTACATTAAAATCAGACGATATGAACATAAAATCTATTCACGTTCAAAACACATAAAGCAAAAATCATTTTTGGTGCTTTATAAAGAGCAAAATCCAATTTATATTAAAAAATTTAAAAATATTCAATACAACTTGGTCACAAAAATATCAAAATTCAACTTCATATCAAAGTAAATATAACTGTCTTATTGAGATGCAAAATTATAAATTAAAGTACTCCAATCATTGTCATGCCTCCAAGGCATAACGGCATTAGCAGGGATTCGAAAGGTAAATCATTGATGTCTTGCTTCACTAGATTATGTTTCTTTTTTACTTTTTGAATGTTACAAATTTAAATATGTTTTCAAAATAAATGTTAATTAATGCTATAAAGAGGTCACTTTATTGTGATAAGAACGGTGAGCTCTCTGCCCCTGCTCCCCTCCTTTGGGATTGTTTGGGCCGAAGGCCTTTCTGTATTTTGTTTTCTTCTCTTTTGTAATAGCTTCACTTTTCGAATAAAAAATAAATAAATAAATAAACAAACCGGTGAGCTCTCATTTTATATTATTGGTTTGAATAATTCGTTGAATTGATTGATTTATTAAATAATTAATTTAACTTTTCACTAATTTCAAAAAATTATCTTTTATCAGCGTTCTTTGTTTTTAGAATTTGGCATTATGCAAGAAAAATTATTTGGTGGTATGGTATCATGTGATATCAGCTAATCGAACCACCAAATGATTCCAGAATATAAATATTTTTTACATACAATCGAGACTCTCTTCGGCTGATACTTTAAAATTATAGTATTGTAAAATAAGAAATGATGCATTAATTAGTTTAGATTACTTTTTAAAAAAAAAAATTCTTCGGCTCTAAATTTAACAATACACAGCAGTATACCACTATTGGTAGTTTGGAATGCGGTATATTTTAGGTTTGGTCAATACCAAAATAACAGTTTTGTATTACCAATTTAGTAAAAACTGATATGTTATGAATTATTCCAAACCAATATCAGCCGAATTTGAAGACCAAATATCAAAAAAATAATATTATAATACATTCCAAATAGGCCATATATCATTCATTTCCGTTTGTTTGGACTACATCCGTCCCACAAAAAGTGTCTTACCTTTCTATTTTTGGTTATCCCAATTTAAAATCCAATGTACTATCTTTTTAATATTTCTAAGTTACCCTAATTACCTTGAAGTCATAAAAGCAATTAAAGTTATGCAGAACCATCATAGAAGGGTATATTTAAAAGTTCATTACCTACCATTATAACAAAAAAATATATTAAAAATTACACCGTTAAAAGGTTAAGTTTCCCAATAGACTCGATCTCAACTTCGATCAAGACCTTTGCCAAATACCAAAAAATAAAAAATATATATATTTTACTTAAAAAAAGAATATTTTCCCAGAAATTTGTTTTACATAATTTGGTAAATTTAACCATTAGCAGTGGGGTATACAAACAATGGGTTCAATTTTTTATACTTATGAAAGGTGCAATCTAGCTCAGGACCTTCAAATTGCATTATTCCTGGTTCGTTGTACCATCCAATACGCAACTCTTTTTCAAGTCCGATACGTGACTCGTATCTGTTAATTTACACCGACTTTGTCCGCAACCATGACCAATATTGCGAACCATTGCATCAAGTATTATACAAAACTGAAACTTACAACTGATAACTAAAATCAAGCTGCCACATTGAGTCCCTCTGTAAATTGAAAGGAAAATCACTGACGGATAACTGGATAAATTCAATTTTCTGATATCTACAATTCCCCATTCCTACATGCCTGTGATTGCATTCTGAATACAAATGCTTCAAGAACTTCTGTAATTTCCAAAGCTCTAATTTGGTGAATAATATACAAAGAAAAAACAAAAAACCAAAAACAAGAAAAAACTGCTTCTAGATTCCCAGTTCAAGGATATTTTGCAGAACAAAGAACCCTCACATCTTCAACAATAAAGGTGAGACGGAGAACCTATTGCTGCAACTGCCTATGGCTGCAACGATTTGTGGCACATTTCATGAATCGAACCACCTTATCAGAAAGCCATATCACTTTCGACAAGTTGTCACAATAAATGGTTCTTTGTCGCACTCTGTTTGATAGAGCTGGGAGCATTTGCAGAAGGCCTAGTATGATAAATGCTGAGACCCAAGTGAGGCGGGGATGGACTACGAAGGGCCTCGAGAGTAGTGTGAGGAGACTGATGTGGAGCCACTGTCAAGTCGGGAGTTTCATGGTGAGATCATTGGCCAGCCACACTGGAGAAACAGAACTATGGATGATGCTGGAGAAGGCAGTCATGCAAGAGTAAAGAATTATCTATTTGCAATAATGAGTGGTACACAAGTTGGAAAGGGAGAAAGGAGTAAATGCAGAAAGAAACTCTTACTTTGTTCCCAGGATTTCCGTTTATGGAAAGTGTCGGAGATACTGGCACCTGATCAAGTTTATGATTAGAATGCTCTTGTGGAGTATGTGTTTGATCCTGTTAAAAGTTATATGTTATAGTACAAATTCGCTATACTTTAGCCCAAAAAAAGGAAAAGAAAAAGAAAAAAAGAAATCAATGCACTATGCCAATACTATAACTTACCCTCAATTTCATCCCACTAAGAGCCTGGGTGAAAGATGGAATATCAACCTGGGTGAAAGATGGATCAAGCTGCTGTGAATTTTTTAGGAATCGATGTTCTAGTAGCATGCTAGCTGAAGGTCTCTCTGCCGGATTTCTACAAAAACAACAACGTAAAAAATCCTTGCCCTCGGACGACAACGTTTGAGGTATGGTTGGGGTTTCTCTCGTAACCTTGAACATGGCTGCAGCCTGCATTAAAGAAGGATATGTAACCATCTTAGCAGATAAACAGAGAATAAATTAATATGTTAATAAATGAGTCCAACCAGATTCGACCTTCACCATATTAAGTTCCACCAGAGCAGTAAAAATATTGTTAGATGCAAAAGCAAAAAGTCGGGTATAAATTATGATGCACCACCACATATAGCATAACGAGGCAAAAGGAAGATTTGCTGGCACACAACCAAACTTCAAGTCTTAGTTGCAGACAGACTACATGACATGCTAACATATCCAATGAAACTCATATAGGCCACACATGAATTGCTGCATGAGTTTGTACTCTTGCTTTATTGGGTCTTTAGTGAAAGTAAATCCAAGAAATGCTATGGAGAAACCCGGTTAGGCTATTACTGTTGCGCGAGTAGCGAGAGAGATGAGGGGAGCGGGAAATATACCTTGAAGATGATAAATAATTCTAGACTAGTTCAAAGTGATGGACAATGACTTTTTTCAGACTTGTCACTTTCAAGAAATCAACAAGATATCCATAATATCATTAACTAACTGTGATCCTCATCGAACAGCAAAGATTGATTTCTATTTCGGATTTGTTATCTTCTGAAATAAACAAAACCTAAGTTTTACTAGATGTCCTATGGAAGGAACAATCTCCAGCAAATCAAGTTCTAATTCCTTCACTGTTTCACTTTGGTTTAATACCTCTACAGTTATACAGTATAATGGAAATTTTACGTCTAACAATATTCATTCTTTACATCACAGCATTAAGTACTTTTCAAAATCTTTCCCCTTTGTTTCTTTTATTCCTACTCGTTTTCTATGGTATCCAGACTTCTGCTTCTAGTATCACTGCAGTTTGGTTGGCGTATTTTTAACCTCATCAGGCTTTGGTCTTCTTGGATGTTTTGTATCCAAGCGTCTTAATCTGCCACATCTTTCCTATTCTGATGGTTTAATGTGATCGATCACTTTTCCTACCTGCTTCAAGACTGTTTCATGTGATTCCATTGTTTCTATACATATATATTTTTTTTGCACAGGGTGGCATGCAGACCTGACCAATGGTTGACGTCAAAAGTCCCATCTAATCAGGCTCTCACACCGATTTCTGCCCATTTCTCTCCCCTTCGTATTGGTATAGTAATTCAAAATAGAGAAATACGAAAGTTAATAAATGTAAGTAGTCAAACAGGAAATAACAGTACTGAATCATATGGATTATAATAATAATTATTGTTATAATTAGAAATAGAATAAGTTCAGTTGAATAATTTGGAATATCAGGACACAATCCACTAAAGCTATGAAAAAGTATACAAATTATTAAAAACAATTGACTGGTCTATGAATAGGGTGTAGTGGATAAAGGAATGGTAATGATCTAGACAAGGTAGTAGTATGATATGCATAAATGAAACAATTAGAGGGGATTTAAATGACAAAGGTTAGACAACAATCTTGACAAAGGTGAATAATGATGCTGAATAATGTAACCGGTCAAGAAAAAAAGAAAAAAAAAAATTGATTCTTAATAATAGAATGTGTGAGAACATCATGTTGGCAAATTCCGTAACAAAAGTTGAAGTTTGCAATTTTTAGTTTTATTTATTATTTTTCAAAGTTGGTTTGGTTAGTTAGAAGTAGAACTTAATTTGATCGAGACTCTGAAGACAAAATATTTGGAGATCAAAAGGGGTAAAAAAGTAAACTCAACTTTTGGATTACTAGCTCGCCTAATTGGGCTCCTAATCATGCACCAGGCACAATGCATGCATGTTCCGATTCATTTGAAAGATGCCTTGAATGCATTAAATTGTTGTTAATGAATAAAAATTCTCCCATAGCCTCCAACTCTAAAGCCTCCCTCCTATAGACCGGAATTAGTGAGATACCAACAAAAAGGTAAATGATTTTCCAAAAGAATTTAGTTCATGAACTTTGTCAATTATTCTGCTTATTCTCTTATATGCATCCTGCATCATTAGACTAACATTGCTCGAACTTGCTGAGCACATCACTTGAAGGGTACTCGAAGGAGTTTTGTTCTGTTTTTTTTTTTTTTCGGATACGTAAGGGTACTCAAAGGAGTCTGACTCGTCGAACTTGTCTTGGATAGATTTATCGGACCATAACTTATTTAGAATCTTACAAAAATCAGTGTTAATATACACACATATATATATATATATAATATATTGGAATGTTATGTGTGTTAATTAGTTTTATTTTCCTATATCATATATGACTCCTGAATTTACACATATTGAATATTGGGTTATAGTTAGTCTAGTAAATTACACGGAAAAACAAAGGATTAGGAGCGACTAGTCAAGGAGATCAAAGCACGGGTGAAGAGCAGATTGCATAAGGAGTAAATTCATTAACTGGTAGCAGGAGAGCTCAGTGGAGTATCTGACATGAGTCTGAGAATGGATTTTTCTGTCTGGATTAGATCCTATGGTCAGACCTCGTTCGGATATTTCACATAAAAATCGTGTTTATGTGTGATTGCTTGGTTATTTTATTTTTGCTCCTAATAGTTAAAATATTTATAGTACTGTGTTTGAACTATAATTGCTAGAACTAAAAGACAGTTATTGTTAGTCAAAAATTGAACAAGATCTATTCATCCCCCCTAATCTATATCTATTTCGGATACTCTGGCACATCAAATTCATGGGTAGCAGTCCTAATCTCAATTGGTATTAAGCAAATCAATTGTGGAATGTGGATCCCTCAGATCTTATTAAGACAAGATAGTGATGCTGAACAATCACATTCGCCAAGATGTAGGTCACGTGACCACCTTTCTAAATGGGGGTGCCCCAGACAACTCATCTTGTCATTTCATTCCCGTTAGGCCGAAGTGTTTGGCGTTTCCTTCTCTGCACCCGCTCACGCTAAAGGAATATATTTCTAGCTTGAGCAAAGGATGATGTTGTTAAAGCAAGATAAGAATTTCGAGTCAGGAAATCAAAGATTTTTTTAATGGATATGCTAGGGTGTGCGGTCGATGCATTGGGCCTATTTTCTTGCAAAACAGTTGGTAGATATTGTGACACCCAACTATGGCAAGGCCGAAAATATGATAGTGGCATTTGAATCTCGCTTTTTTGCTTTAATCATTTGAAAAGGTTCCAAAAGCAATTTAAGTAGGAGAATAAGTCATCTATTGTCCTAAGTTCCCTCCTTTTGGCATGGCTGGGGGTTAGTCAAATAATCTTTCTTCTTTCTGAGACGTCAAATTTCTCGATGACAAGCAACTCTGTGCTTCGGGCTAGTAGCTTATGAGTTTAATGCCTCTTATTTCCAATGTAATCATAAAAGGCTCATTTCATCCTACTTCTATTGATCGGTGTACTAGCATGTGCACTAGAACGGACAGATTGGGTGGAGACAGTTATTGCATATCTCTTTTAACCAATGTACTGTTCCTGACTCTGCTCAGATGAAGCCTTCAGAAGACTTCTTCCGAATGGCATAATTGTCCAAAAGTCAATGTGGCAGTTTTCGCCATTGCTTACTTCTTTCATCAAAGGAGAGCAGCTAGCAGCAGGGGAACACCTTCAAATGGTGTTTGTCCTACAAACCGCGAACGGATTCGCCTTTGGCTTCTGGGCACGTCAGGAGAATAGGACTTTCAGACTTTCATGTCAATATAAAATAAAATAAATTCAGACTTTCATGCATCTTTAACATATCAACTATCAAGTGATTCGATTTTATATACTATTTTTCATATATAATACAAGGTTTTCTTCTTATTATTAATTTTTCCCCTGGAATTGGAAACGTATCATCAGGTTATAAAGCATATTTTCTAAATCATAGAGCACTGAAAAAAGAAAAATACAAAGAACATAAATGGCAGGTAAGATAAAACTTTGGTGTTCTAGTGTAATAAGTGGTCAACCACAAACTTTGGTGTTCTAAAGTGAAAAGGACAGGGAGAAGGCAATCACAACAATTTTGATGATATGAATGTAGATTTTCAAGTGCACTTTTATAAAGTTTGCGTATTGACAGATCCCATATCGTACAGGTCATGATCAATACTGTACATCAACAAAAATTAAATGCTTACCCCTTCATATTCACTCCAAGGAGGTTTCCCGTTCAGCATTTCAATAATAGTACAACCCAAACTCCAAATATCAACAGCTAGAGCAAGATCAGAATTAGCATCTTTCTGTGTCAGAGGCTGCAAGAGCTGCAGGATAAAAAATGATGTCAGTACAATAAGGCAGGGAGATGATCTCACAAAAAATTGATGTCACAGAAAGAATGAACCTCAGGAGCCATCCAGTACGGACTTCCTTTTAAAGAAAGATAAGTTGTTTGTCCGCTAAGCTGCATAGAAAACCAAATTTTTAACTCCCAAACTGAGAAACATCAGATTATGACATAATATGAATCAATACAACGATGTGATGACTGATGACAATGATAAATCACAATTAATGACCAGAACAAATAAATGCAAAAACTGTGAAACAAAGTTAACCATGACTAATTATATGCTACTCCTTATCAGTTTGTTTGCAAATTGCTGATGAGGTGTCAACACATTCGTTCAATTCAGGGCCTTGAGGCTAACTCATCCACTAAATATATAACGAGTGGGTGTCAGATCAGTTATCCCTGCCAACACCAGCAAGGGGTTTGAAGGCAAATATTGGGTGAAATAGAGTCTGGGTATCAAGTATCAAGTCTTCTTGTTGGAAAATATACATATATATAAAAGAAATAGGAAAGGAAAAAGAAAAAAGAATAAAACCAAAAAGAAAAATACTATACCAATCATTACAAGCTTCTTCTCTAACATTCAACACAAACTCCTCCCATTTTATTTTATCATTTTTCATTGAAAATATGACAACCGCTACCCACAGAGCAGGAAATAAAATGTGGGGTTTCCTTACACAGTAGTACTTCCACAAAATCCAAAAGTTCTCTAACAATAACCACAAAATTTCAAAGCTCGAACAATATCATTGCAAATATTGTTAGAGGAAAAGATTTCATCGACTTTCATACCAACAATTTTTACAATCTCATGGGTAAAAAGAAGTAGCAATTAGTAAGAATGAAGTTAAAAATGGGCCAAAATAAGCCTATATATGTAAAACGTTGAAAAAAAAAATGATCTATACAACCTGAGATAGTGAGATCAAAGCTCCTCATCACTCCGCATGAAGTAAAGATCAGGGATCTCTATCAAAAGGGGGACAAATATGGTGCATGATAATAAATATAAAAAATTAAAAAAAATAAATAAAACGAACCATATATGTCAAGCATTTGCACAATTTACATAAAATGAGCGCATGAGCAAGAACCTAATCGTGCGGATGACACAGAACGATCTCAAGATCACTAAAATCCCATCTACTGTGAAGTTTATGACCTAATGTAAGAATATGTAAACTATACTTTGTTCACTGTTCATTTTCAACAAAATATATATACACATATATATCAAGCAAAATAAAGGCAAGTTTCAGTACACCTGTCAAGGGAAACAAGGACTACTACTGTTAGGAATCCTTTATACCAAGGATATGAAATAACTAGCATGCAGTGATTGCCCGTGTATGAGGCATGCTATAGAAGACACCACAATTCTGTTGGATTTATATGCATGGTTTATATGTGGCTTTCTACAATTAAATTTTTTTGTTTTTTTAGAATGTTTTTGCATGTCCAGATGTTGAAAGAGTTCGAAACTCACATGTTTAGCCATCCCAAAGTCAGCAAGCTTGACAACCCCATATGCATCGACAAGCAAATTAGCCCCTTTAATGTCCCTATAAAATGTAACCATTGTTAAACTTGGCCAGCTAGAAATGATACTCTCGTACTGCAGATAGAATATAGAAAATAATATAATACTAAATATCCAAACAGAAGCAACATAGATTGTGTAGGCCTTTTGCCAATAGAATCATTCCATCTGCAGTTAAATATGAAAGAAATTTAACATGCTTCAATGTTATATCCTAATTGCTACTCTAAGGATACGCTAAAATTTATTCATCACATGATCAAAGATGTGTTGTTACCTGTGTATTGTCTTTGTGCTATGCAAGTAAGCCAACCCAGAGAGAATATGGCGAGTGAAATTGCGTATAACAGATTCTGTTATTGCTCCACAATGGTCACGGATGTATTTATTAATAGAACCAGGATGAACATACTCTAGATATATGTGAAATTTGTTCCCAACCTGCATGTACATAAACCACGGGTTTCTAAAAGGACATTGGGAATAAACATAGGTACCATAACATGCAACAGGGAAATTACTCACAATTTCACTGCCATAATACTGCACAATATTTGGATGCTTTAGCTGGCTGAGGAGTTTAATTTCCTGCAAAGTTGGCAAGGAGTAAGACCTACAGAAACTTAATAATAATTAAACCTAAAAAAAGAAAAAAAAAAAATATCTAAATTAGAGTAGATAAATATACATACATTCAGCTGAGAAATCCATGTAACCCAAATTCACATATATTCTCAATGAACTATGGTCAAAGCTACTTCATTATAAGTTCCATATAACAAAAAATTATTCAACCAAATAACTCATATATCGTCAAAGAAAAAGAATAAGCCATTGACACATTTTTTTTTGGCAAGTAGTAGATTTTTTTTTTTTTTTTTTTTTTTTTGCAAGCCACTGACACTAGTTCTGAAAGTGATTTCCACCAATAAATATTTTCTGAAGAGTGGTAATTACCCATCTAAGAGACATACTTAAATTTCTCAAAACAAACACTTATTAAAAGAATTTGGAAGATGGTAAAAAAAAAAAATTCATATCAGTTATTTTAAAGGCAATGTTTTTAATTTCATGCACATAAGCACAGACTTATCTTGAGTACTAACATCATATCCTGAGTGGATTTATCACATACTTGACATAGTAAAAAAATCAGGCATTAAATTCCTCTCAAATCAATCAAAATTGAAGTGACCACAATTTCACATGATCCGTGTCCAAAAATCTTCCTAGTATAAAATTAGAGTAAATTACATTTTACACTGACATCCCCAGAATACGAAACTTGGTAACAGTTACCTCCCTCTCTAAACTGTTAGCATTGCTCAAAGGCAGAAATGATGATGTCATGAGATGGAAAATGTTTACATTCCAATATTACCCTCATTTAACAAGACATTTTTATTAAACAAATATTATATTATCTAAGGGTATATTAGTAATATCATACCTAACATTAACTCCATTAAAGGGACGTCAATGACAGGGGAGGTAAGTGTTATTTTTGAAACCATCAAGGAGGTCCGAGTAATAATTCCAAACCTTAGGAGAGTTCAATCAATATAATTTACCTGTAAATTTATTACAGGTACATGGTATGTGGAACCTTCGTAAATATTAAACATTCATTAAAATACATTCATAGAAATCAAGAAAATGGTTGACCATGTTAGAGAATGTAATATAGATGTATAAAAGATAATGTTACAAATATTGGTATACAACCTGCTGTAATTGCGTTATACACTCTGCAGATTTTGGGTCATCCTGCAATATCTCAACTTCTTTCATTGCACATAAGGCTCCAGTTTCCCTGTTGAAGAAAACAACATTATCACCAGGGGTTGTAGCCAAGTGGTATCTCCTCAAACTCCCAAACTGAGAGGTGAGGGATCAAGTCCCCATAGGAAAGAACTAGCATAAGAAAGATATGGTAGTTTTACACACCTGTTGGTGGCAACATAAACACTTCCAAATGTACCACGCCCAATAGGCTTTCCTTTTTTCCATTGACTTTTCATTGGCTTCAATTCTGGCTTAGCTGTAACTTGGTTAACAGTAACAGGCTGGGAAGGAGTGGCAGCACCTGGAGGAAGAGGTAAGGGGTGGACATGGGCCTGAGCATTACTTTCACGTGGTGCTATCGAGGTCTCAAGTGATAACTTGTTATGTAAAGGTGATGCAGGCCCAGTAGGAGTAGGGCTTCTGGTGGTCCGGCGGGGACTTGCTCTTGGACTGTGGAGAGGTGAATTATCAACACTAAATGCAGTTTTCTCAGGGTACATTTGATTAGGACACCCTAGACCCAGAGTCATATCTAAAGGAGGCATCTCAGGTGCAGACCAGACTTGAATTACTTGGGGAGACATGTGATAATATGAAAAAATATCTCCATTATTTATCTGTGGGCTGAGTGCAGGACTCGAAAAGGGGCTAGTAGGATTACCAATAAAAACAGTAGACAATGAACTGTCTTGATTCCTTCCCAAGACATTCAGTTCTCGAGGAACCTTCCTAGATGACTGAGTTTCAGCATGCTCCGTATTCTTTCTGGTGTCCTGGGAAGCTAACCTACTTAAATTGGACAATATGCAAACATGTAGTAGAGTCAGCATAATGCAGGAAGTACAGGGCATCACAGTGCAAAAACAATTATATGAGAACCTAAGAAAAGCTCAGCAGTAATCCACTTCAACAGTTAGCAGTAATATGGAACCAAGTTTTCCATTTGCTACCTAACCAAATATTTCAAAGAAAGATAAATAAGCACAGAGTTCAAATGAAGTGAATCCGTGAACCTTTTATCCTTAACATAAGGCATAACTTAAGCACCTAATGTACTGAAAATCGAACTTAATTATAGTTTATATAATGATCTAGAAGGCACCATACCAAAGATATAGGTGATCTTTAAACAAAATATAGAAATAGGAAGAATTGTGGAACATGGACCAAATAATTAAAAATAAAAATAAAAATAAACAGTTTGTTACCAAGTCCACTCGGTATTGTGCTATAGATGTATATATGAATCTGCACACAGAAAGCAATTCCAATTCTTTTGCACAGAATGAGATGGTGAAAAGTACTGCATGCCTGGTGTCTCATCTGCTTCTTTGTTGGCGCATAAAATATAAATTTAAAGCAATCTCATCTAAAAAACAAACTGATAAATTTGTCTGAAGATATAAATGATGCATCACAACAGTCAAATAAATGATGCATCACAACAGTCAAATCAGATAATGAAATTGAAGCAGAGACGTAGGAATCGCTTAAATATGCAAACAATTATAGAAAATGAATACATTAACGAAGACTAATAATAGGGCATGTTGATATTCATTCCATAATGTAGAATCAATGACGAAGGTAAGGTAATGTCTTGCAAATACTAAATGAATATCAAATTAACATACACATACATAAACATATTGGAGTCAATTTTGAAAATTTTACCTCTCAGATGCAGCACTCGACGTGACTCCATCTCCGTTCCCCTTCCCGTTCCCGTTACCGGTCAATCCATCAGCTCTTTCTCTCTCCTCCCCGCCTATCGATGGCGCCTCCTTCGGTGAGGGCAAGGGAACATTACCCGTATTTGAATTTAAAGTTGAATTCGAACACGAATTTGAAGTAGAAGGCGTGGAGGCGTCACAGCGTAGCAGCAAGGCCAGTTCCGGGAGGGGCAGGGGCTGCGGAGACGCGGACGACGACCTCCGCGAGGAGTAAAAGTGATGTCTAGTGCTGGGCGAGTGCCAGCGGCGGTCAGCTTCGGCGGTAACGCCGATGTCGTCGTCGGTGAGGTGGCGGAGCTTCCGAGCGCGCGTGAGCCGGCGCTGCGAGGAGCGGAGGATTCTGGAGACTCTGTGGCCGGGGTTATCAGCGGAGTGGTGTTTGGAGGACGATGACCGAGAAAATGCGCTATTCAACCAATGCATTGGAGATTCGGCTAAGATGCATCTTACGGTGGTGATGAATCAGACACCTGTGGTGGTGGTGGTGACGATGAACAGATTTGATAGGGTCCGAGTCAGGCCATCTAAGAACCATTTGATTGGGATTCTACGAGCCATCGTTGATGATGATCAGTCACATTCAGAGGCAAACCCTAGCAATGGAGGAAGAGGAGGGAGTGGTTTCACTTTCTCTCTCCTCTGTAACGCGGTTTTACGACAACAGCGTACTATTAACCGAAACAGGGAGGGAGGGTGTCCCCATCTTGAGGTCAAAATCCTCCTTTCCCTTTGTAATTGTAACAGACCCCTCTCTCTCTCTCTCTCTCCTCTCTCTCTCTCTCTCTCTAGAAATTTTTAACTAAATTGTTTTTTTTTTTTTTAAGTTATTTTTTAACTAAATTGTTTTTTTAAAAGATAATTTATAACTATCTTGTTATTATACAGGGACATTTATCTTTTATATAATTTAATTATGCAAATATTTGGGGATGTGATTGATATTCATGACCCGTGAGTTTAAATAAACAAACAAACCACTTTTGTTAATATAATATTTCTATTTCTATAAAAGTCATTACAGCTAACAATTCAAAACTTTGCTATGATTTTGTTTATCTTAATCTGGATTCGAATTTTTTTTTTTTAAATCTGTATTCAAATTTAAATGATTGTAAAATAAATAAATAAAATGCTACAACGTCTCATATATTCAAGAATAAATAAGATAATATCAATTAAGTTTATTTCATTCGTTGATAATAAAAAAAAAATAGTGCTATTGCGAGAGCGCTCTCGCAAAAAATCTAAAAAGCAACTTATAAATCACATAATTCTTATTGGAAGAAAGAATTATGTAAGTAATTAAGAAAGAATCAAGAATCTTTTTGCCACATTCTCTTTCTTGGTTAATCATTAACCAATAGCTAAAAAAAATATTTAAAAAATAAAATAAAATAAAAAATCTCAAATAATCTCAAATAAAAAACTTACGAGAACCTAGTATGTCAGCGGGCATGCAGGTGGAGAGATTTTTGATTGAAAGACAAATGGTTTAACTATGAGAGAGAGAGACATATTCTTCGATGGTTAATCAAGAGAGAGAGAGACAAATTGATTGAGGATGTTAACCAAGAGAGAAAGAGAGAACATGGAGAGAAGAGAGAGAAAAAAACTTGATTTGTTTCTTTAATTACGGAGGATTTTTTCTTAATTAATTGTCTCTCCCAAATCTTAAAAATAAGAATTGTGTGGCTTATAAACGCGAGCACTTTAAATTTTTTGGGAGAGCGCTCACACAATATCACTATTCTAATAAGAATTGATGAAGATTATTATCATTTTTTTTAAAGTATTTATCCAATTTAAAAATGGATTGTTACATAGAAAATGATTTCTAAGCATTACGGGTTTTCTGTTAAAATGTTTCTTTCTATTTTATAAAGTGGTACTCTGCATTAAAATTTACAGTATAAACTTTTTTTTCTTTTTCTTTTTCTTTTCTTTCACATTGCTCTTTTTAAATGACCAATTAAAGCTGGTTGAAGAAAACAACAGTGAATTGATAATCGTGCTTGGCCAACTCTTCTCATGGTTACTCAATTCTCATTATTATTAGGATTAGAATCCTTGTAAGCGGATCATACTATAACCATGTTGTATCACAAATCTTTTGAAAAGGTAATTTAAACTTCTTTGTGTAATATTCAAGAGTTGCAATATTTTTATTTAATTATTATTTATGACTCACTTCAAGGAGCCTTATGCAATTAATGAAAAAAAAAAAAAAAAAAAAAAAAAAAAAAAAAAAAACAACCTAATGAATTTTGTTCTTCCGACTAACATATTTTGCAAATTGATAGTTTTATGATTTTTTTTTTTTTTTTTTTTTTGGGAATAAATTGTTTGAAATTTAAATTTATTTAGTTTATTATGCCTCAATATTAAAAGATCGTTTTCTGGTAAATAACACATGTATTTAGTACCGATAACATGCCACAAGTCACAGCAATCTTGTAGATTAATTTCTCAAAATTCATATGAATAACACTTTTGTTCTTAAAAAGTGTTACTCTTATTTAAGTGTCATTTTACCATGCTATTTGCAATTTTTGTATTTTAATCAAACTTTGAAACATGACATTTGATAATGACTTCCAAATATAATTAGATTTATTTACCAATTATTATAATATTATAATATATGCAACAGAAAGGGCAGTGGAATGTAACACCTTTTTGTTGTATAAACAAATATATCTTATCCAATACTATAAATTAAGTATTCATAGTTGACTTCCAAGGGATGACTATCAATACACGGGTTTATGGGGTAACTCGTAGTGAACTTCCAAGGGATAACTATCAATACATGGGTTTATGGGGTAAATATTACACTGTCATGGTGTTAAAGTCATGAAATAACAATAAATGAGAGGATTACACAAATTATTTCTTATTCATGAATTTACTTTCTACTTTGGACCACAGGACAATTTATATTACCATAATGACCCAAAACACAACTATTATAACATAAAAGCTTTGAAACATAAAATAAATCTAATATATGCTCACCACGCTCCTACATAATACTAGTAAATATACTAACCTTTAAGAAGTTATCCTGTGGTTCTTCGAATTCTTCTGTTCTGAGGTTAGCAACCACCACTTGGCCGGACTTTCTTCACTGGAGAGTTGTTCTAAACACCCTTTTATCAACACAAATGGCTCACCGAGTTTAACAAACAAGGAATAAAAATTCACAAAATGTAAGAACCAAAAAGAATATTACTTTAAGGTTTTCTATGAAGTATTTGAATGAGTTTATGAAAACACACTAACTTATTCATTGAAAAAAAAATTAGTACATAGTACTTAAACACTCTGAAATATTGCACAAAAGCTTCAAAGATTAACACTACTATACACAAACTTGAAAGAAAGCACTCTTACAATACTCTATCTCACTCTCTGGTTTTCGATGCCTCATACAATGCCTTAAGAGCCTTTTAGTAGACGCCGGACTTGAAAGAGATCTATAATTGAATTTAGATTTGAAATTTGAATCTAACTTATTACAAACTGACACTCTTTCTAGCCTGTGCTTTTTTTGAAGATGTTTTTTTTTTTTTTTCTTTTGGTTGTTTCTTCTTTGGAAGGCATCTGCTACGGTGGAAAGTTGATATGGTGGAAGACAGTTAATACTCCATCATGTTGTCCAGATTCTAGTTTCCAATGTCATCTAACTGGTTATCATCATCCATGACATCAATACCATACTTCATTATTTGATAATCAGTTTCGCTATTCATAATTTCGATTATTTCCTTGGTTTCTTGAGTGGTTATTAACCTTCCTTGCTTAATGGCTTTTGTTAATTCAAATTTTTCTTCATTTTTGAATGCTGATATTTGAATTATTATCCTTTCTCCAAAAAATATGGTGGTCTATTGTTCCCTCGGTGTCCATGATTCTTTGATATTTTTCTAGATCATGGTTATCCCTGTGGCTCGATTTACTCGAATATCACGATCACTCATGTATTCGGGCTTTTTCTTCTTTAACTTGTTCTCATCTATGATATTTTCCAACCATTGTGGTGTTAAATGCAGTCTTATAAGATGAATCGAAGGATAATAATCTATTTCGTCTCATTCTAGTGCTACGGCTATGACCTTAACATGAAGTGGTCATTTTGGTTTGAATTTGTTACAAGCTTCCTGGATGGATGTTGGCATTACCTCTATGTGATATTTTTATAATGAACCGAACCCGTGGGTCCGAATTGCTAACCGGGTCCTTACCCAAACCAGAAAAAACACCCGACGGTAAAACAGTCAACTAAGGTGTGGAAATTAATTATATAACTCTAAATGAGACTAAATAGGTCAACATAAGTCATAAGGGTCATTTGAACCCATGACGCAAAGTTCTGAACATAAGAATGAGGATTTCACACAATTACCCCATTCATTTTTCAAAGAATTCAGGAATAGTTCACACTAAAAAGGTCATAACTCTCTTTACGATTGAGATTTTTGAGTGAAATTAATTTCATTGGAAAGTTGACTCAAAATTCTTGAAATTTGACTCAAGAATGACGCAATTTAGATTTGAAAGAAAGGAGATATGATCATTTGAAATGAGGGTTAAGAAAAAGGGGCAAAGCAGCAAGGGAGCCGGCTCCCATTCTGATAGAGCCGCCTCTTTTTACTGAAGGAGCCGCCTCTTTTTACTGAAGGAGCCGCCTCCATGGTGCATTTTGACGAAAATTGGCTACTGGACTAAAAAGAGCCGACTCCTAATGGGGGAAATTTGGTCACTTCAATGCATTTCAAAGCTAAAATTTCCATCCTTTTAACCCAACATGCATAAATGGTAAAAATAAATAATTTGACAAGCTAACTCATAGAATTCTACAACATGGCGACAAAAAGAAACTTTGATCTCATCATAATTGTCCGATTACAATGTTCATAAACAATATGACTTCAAATTACATCGTTGAAAAGCTACAACCCTAAAAAGAGGGTGAAAATCCTAAAAAGACCCCAAATGGTGGTTCTAAGGGTCTCAAAACCATTTCCACCCGAAGTGGGCACATTGCATTACAAATAAACATGTTGAGTCCAAACTTCACAAAATATACATCTTAATACATCTTTACAAAAATAAAAGGAAGTGTATACATCAAATACAAGAGAAATCTAAGTTCCTTTCAATCCGTTTAAACTTGTAGTGGATTGTCGTCCGCCACTTCTTTCCCAAGTCCTGAAAATGATAATATATATAGGGTGAGCCAGTTACTTAGTAGGAGGTACTTAAGATACATCTCTTGTGACCCTGTGAATCCATATAAATCATAGGAAAGGGAGAGAGCGGTCATGCTAAATTGAAAGGGAAAACATAGCAACAATTCCAACAATAGCGCATCAAAATCCTCATCAAGCCATGCCATGCAATGGTATGCAATTTCGTTCCCTATTTCAAAATCTTTATCCGTCATTATTTCCAACCATTAATGCAACCCGTCCCATGGCAACTCTATGGCGGCACGAAAGAAAGCTAACTATCCCTGACCCATGACAACTCCATGGTGTCATTTGGGGCCAGGTAACTCAACCATGCTAGGGCAGTCTCCCTAGTTCTCTCTAGGCCACATTAACGCTATGGACCTTAGGCAATTCCTAAGCGACCGGGTTTTTGTAAACCTCTTTCAAAACCTTTTTCCTAAAAAACCATTTTCTTTCCTTTTCAAATCACATTTCCCATTTTCTTGCCC